GATGATGATTACATAACTCGGTGACACTAAAATACACTGGAAAACACTTTTAAAAAGCGAATTTTGTTGTGTGTCAATTATATTGCAAAACACAATGAAGGAAAAAATTTTGCCAAAAATATAACTGATTTTTCTACTGTTCAATCCTGATGCTAAAGCAAACAGAACCTCAGGCAAGGCTGGAGGCAGTCCTATAATAAAATATAATTGTGTCTAAAATATGTCAAAAAAACACAGACTATAACAAAATACGGCTAGGTGAAAGGGCAGTTGTATAATATCATCAATATACTTTGCTTCGGTGTATTTTTTGGCTTGAGTGAAATATTGTTCACCTTTTGTGAACATCAACAATTTTAATGGAGAGTCCTTTGTGTTCTCTCCCAAGCAGGATATAAGATTTAGAAGTCAGGTGGGCAACAGTCCTTGTTCTAAGACTACTCAGGTGGCAGTTCCCAGCCAGTGGCTAGAGGAAGAGACCAGGTAGGGTAATGCTCCTGGCTCCTACAAGGAAGGTTGACAAGAAGCTCCTGAGGTTTTGAACCCTATCCACTTATTGGGAAAATGAGCCCAGAAGATGACTCAGGCATTGGCTGGGAAGCCAGAAAGACCAGAAATTGTATAAACCAGGAAGGCAGAAGAGATAGAGAACTGGAGAAAAGGAAAACAGATTTGCATTGACAATTCTTGGGGGGAAGAGATCTATGTCTCAATACTGCACCGTTGCTTAGATTACCATGATTGGGAACCTGTGTTGGAGCTCAGAGGATGGCTTTGAAAAATACGTAATTTTTATCTTTCTGAGGTTGTTTAGAATTGGGGCACGCTTGGATTTCCTACAGAGGATGTGAGTAGCTCCAATAACAGAAAGACTGGAGAGGGAGAGTTTGGGGAATTTGGTCAGTGTGGTGTGTGAGGAGGTTTTCAGTGTAGGTGAAAGACTCGCGGTTAGAAACCCAATGGCCTGGATTTAAATCCTGGGGGTCATTTAGTAGCTGAGTGACACTAGACAAGTTACATAACCTCTCTATGCCTCCCTTTCCTTGTCTGTGACATAAGGAAAACTTGCCCTACTTTATAGGGCATTTTGTCATAGTGCTATATCAGTGAGAGTTTTTATAAGAAGCAGGAAATGAATAGCAATAAACATAAACCCACTGTAGAATTATATATTTCTATGTATGTATTTATACCCACACAATAGGTTGCATGTACACACACACACTTACGCACGAGTATATTAATAAAGGAATCATTAAATGAAGGAAAAAAAAGGAAATCTTACTCATTTGCCCTAGAGAGCCATGTTCTCATTTTCAAGGGTTCAGACTCTTAAGTCTATCATGCTGTGTAATGGACCACAGGGATAAGTAGATGGAGACTGCAAAAGATTCATGTCTCACTGAGCAACCCATTCTCAGGCAGAATCCTAGACTGTGGAGAAAAGCAAGCCTGGCTGTGATGAAGATCTCGGCGTCAGCTGTGCCCAGAAACTTACTGAATTGTAGTGATGGACTAAGGCCCGATTAACCTCTAACCCTAGTTTAAATCCACCGCTTTTTGCTGTGTGTGTGTAAAAACACTTTCCCTGGGAAAATATCTATTTATTTGGTTGTCAAATTTTGAAATTATAGTATAATAGGTATTTATGTATATTTCCTCAGAAGTTTGGAGAATAAAAAAGGGAATGAGAATATCCAGTTAATAGCAAGTAAGTAAAGTTAAGATGAATAGGCAAATTCTATTTTTAGATAGACTCCTCCAATTCAAAAAGGAATGATGGATACAAATAATCAAAATGGCCATTTTCTCTCAACTCTTCCACTTCGCTCCATTTCTTATAGCAGCTAAAATCAGAAAGGAGGGTAGTATTGTTATGCTCTAATAATGTAACTCGTTAAGGGAGGAAACAATTATTTTTTAAAATTTAATCTTAGGTTCAGCTAGTTGATTAATTTACTTACAGTAGATAGACCTGGCTTTGATTTCTGCTCCTCCTGTTACTCAGTGTGTAGCTCAAAACTTTTCACTTGAGCTTCAGTTTCCTCTTCTGTGAAGTGGCCAAATATTAGTCACACATCCTCAGAGGTACTTAAGGACTTGACATAGTACTTGGCACATACTGTTTAAACTAATTCTAGCTAGCCCTGGCTGGTTTGACTGAGCAGTAAAAGCATCAGCCTGTGGACCAAGGGTCATGGGTTTGATTCCTGGTCAAGTGCTCATACCTGGGTTGCAGGTTCAATACCCCATCCTGGTTGGAGTCATTAAGAAGGCAACCAATAGATGCATCTCTTGCACATCTATGTCTCTCTCTCTCCCTCTGCCTCCCTTCCACCCTATCTAAAAATTCATGAAAAAGTATCCTCAGGTGAGGATTAACAACAACAAAAAATTCTAGCTATTATAATTTTATTCTAAATTTATATAAGTTACCTTATGTACTAAGCCGATAATTTATTTTTGTTCTTGAATTTAAGAAAACCCAGTGGTTCTATAGTTTGCATTTAACATGGGCCTTTATTTCTTGAATCACAATGGGTCTATTGTTGACTCTAGACTTTACTATTAGTTCATCAACATCTTTGGATAAAAGAGAAAAATTTGATATTCAGTTCATTATTTATGTAAAGCTAAGGAATCAGCAGCCTACACAGCTGAACAAAAATCCTAGAAATGGCCATTTTTGCAAATGTGCTTACAAAGAAGCATCTATGTATTAAGGCTGTTCTCAAGTAGCAATCTGTTTCCATAGCTCCTAAGTAGAAAAGGAACATTTCCCGTCAGACCCTTGAAGCAGAAAAACATGCAGTTTATTTTTTAAAAAAATTTTTTAAATGTGTTTTTATTGATTTTTTTTAGAGAGAGAGGAAGGGAGAGACAGAAACATTGAAGTGAGAGAGAGACATTGATAGGCTGCCCCTGCAAGCCCCCTACTGGGGATTGAGCTAAAAACCCCGGGCATGTGCCCTGACTGGGAATTGAACCGGGACCTCTCAGTTCATGGGACGATGTTCAATCCACTGAGCCACACTGGCTGGGCGAAAAACATGCAATTAAAAATTCTTGGTTTGGGTAAGAAAAAATGACATTTCCCAATATATATTAAAAGTTGATTTTAGCCCTGGCCGGTTTGGCTCAGCGGTTAGAGCATTGGCCTGCGGTCCGGAGAGACCTGGGTTCGGTTCCTGCTAAGGACATGTACCTCGGTTGCAGTTTGTCCCTGGCCCTGGTTGGTTGTGCGGGTGGCAGCCACTCGATGTGTCCCTTCACGTCGATGTTTCTCTCTCTCTCTCTCGTCTTCTCTCTCCCTCCCACTCTATCTGTGCAAAAAATGGAAAGAATGTCCTTGGGTGAGGATAAAAAAAAAAAAAAAAAGGGGGCAGTTAATCCCTTCTAAAAAAAAAGTTGATTTTAGAATTTTTTTTCTTGTTTAATTAACTAAAGTCATTCTTAGGCATAATTTTAATTCATGTTATCATTCAATGTTAAAAATTTTATATTTTCTTGACTTACAAAATGTGTCATGAATGTTTCTAAAATCTACACTGTCTTTTTTCTTTAGTTTAGGAGGGGAAATAACATAATAAAAAAACACCTCCTTGGTAAAGATGAACTTAGGAGGGGGAGTCCAAGAAAATTTCAAAATTTCAGGATGTGAAGTCAATATGCTCATAAATGAGAAAGAAGGAAATTTAGTCATTATTTATTCATTTGTTTGTTTTAGAAATTCATATTTTAAAACTTCTAAGTACCTGGCACTGTTCTGAACGCATTGGGGACAAAGAATCATGTAAAATAGTCCCTGCCTTCAAGAAACTTCAAGAAGCAAAGGAGGAAGGCTGGACCATCAATGGTAATACCACAGTGTAGAAACGATTTCATTCTCAAGCAGATACAGGATGCTGTGGAAACATCATGGGAGGGAAGACATGGCATCACAAAAAAAAAAAAAAAAAAGGAAGAAGAAGAAGAAAAAAATAAAACAAAGCTGCGTTGAGACACAAAAGAGACTCAGGAAAAGCAAAAACAATTTTAATCCAGACAATGTCTCCTCTTCAAAAATCCACACGTTTAATACTTTGTGTATATATTACATCAAATATATGTCTTGTTCTTTAAAATATCTGTTCTCCAAATGATTCTAAGGCTCAATCATGATTACAAGATACATGAAATTAAGTATATTAACATGACACAACTACTCAGGACTCTATATAATGCACTATTTAAAAGACTCCACAAGGCACACAGTTTACACAGGATAACATGGGCTATATGAAGTGTCTGCAGTTTTCAGGTATTTATTCCTGCTAACCAGGGTGAACATTCTTTTAACATTGTGCCTTGATGTCCTTTTTTAAAATAAGGACACTGAAAATTTAAAATGAGTTGCTATATAGGCACTGACATGTGGAAAATACACTTAGTGTTTTTATACATTGTAAGCTGTAAATGCCTTTCTAATTGCATGTATATTTATGCTAGAAAGCTTGACAAACACAAAACAGTTTGTGAAGAATGAAAAACCCCTTGGCCATCAATTCAAATAAATATAATTCAACTATTTGCAGCATTATACATTTAATTATTAAACTAATTACTTTGAAATCTGTTGATTGTTTTAACAAAATAGTTTTGAAATTGGGGAACTGCTTTCACACTGAATTCTTGTGGGTGGCCCAATCCCCCATTAATTCACAGCTGAGAAGTATATTTTTATGCATTTTTATCTTAAGTAATAATTAATTAAAAGCAAATGAAATTGTCTTAAAATTAAAAAAATGCAAATCACTCCTGAATGACTTTAGACTGTAAGTATGCAAGACATAAACTCTTTTACCCCACATCTTGAATGCTGTTTGCATGCTGTCATCTCTGTAACAGACTGAAATGATACATATTGTCACATTAGGATCACTCAATCTAGTGACAATCTAATCAGGATAGCTCAATGCAATAAGAGTATCAGGTGTAGTGCTTCTAAAGTCATTAATAACAATATTTTAAAGAAATTTCATTTCAATAAATACAATATAAAAAGTTTTTATAGTATATGCATCAATTTACAAAAAGCACTTCAAGGATATCTGGTCAAAACTATTGCCAGAAGATTCGAAAGCCCAGACATTTTGTTCCAAATGCAATTAAAACAGCTACAACGTAAGCAGTAAAAAGCAAGACAAGAACATCTTAGTCCTTCTTCAATGAGTTCAACCCCTTTCCTTGGTTGAACAGTAATCAAAGCATCTTGCAGGTTGTGCTTATTTTGAAACATATGTCAAGTGGGACAGAATACTACAGCAGTTTCAGATCATTATCATTGTTGTTGATTTTTTTAAATGCGACTGGGCTTGCTTGCTTCAAAGAAGTCTTAGAAACATCTGTGTGCATGGTAGACATGGCTATTGTCTCGTAGTCATCATCCCGAGACCGGAAATCACAAAAGTTGAAGAAGAACTGCAAGTCTCTCTGGAAATTTTTGTTCAAGAATCCATAAAATATGGGGTTGACACAGGTGGATAGCATTGCTGTAAGGTGGCAGAGCAGGAAGAAGAGATTATGGTTGCATACAGCAATGACCTGATGGTTCCAATCAAAGACAATATTAAAGATGGTAAGAGGCAGCCAGCAGATTGCAAATGCTACCACAATGGAGAGCAGCATGATGTTGATTCTTTTGGTTTCACTGGACCTGTACTTATTGTCTCTCATCTTGTCCATCATGTTGTTTCTCCTTTTTAAGCGTATATATATCTATAGAGGAAAGAAAAAAATGAGTTCAAATAGAACCACTCATTTAATGAGGAATTCTTTGGAGAGAAGGTAAAAATGGAAATGGTGGGGGAGGAAGTTTTCTTACCTTGAAGTAGCAGATAAATATAAAACCGAGTGGACCAAAATACTGCAGCACCAAGAGGAGAGTGGTATAAGACAACCTATCAGATTCTGAGGGAAATTTATCATAGCACACATATTTGTCGTTGTACTCATCAAGTGTAAAATTCTGGAGTGGTTCATCAGTCATGACTTGATAGATCAGGAAGGGCAAAGAAGAAGCCACAGCAAGGAGCCAGATGACAGCAATAGCTACATAAGCATGTCTATTATTTGGTCTCCACCCTCGTGGGTTGATTATCAGCTGATGTCGTTCCACAGCAATGAGAACCAGAGAGAAAATGGACACAGTGATCGAAACACACTGCACAAAAGGATTCAACTTGCACATTGCCTCACCAAAAACCCAGTGGTCCATTATTGTGTAGACAAATGTGAAGGGGAGACACATGATGGCAACAAGCAAGTCTGAGAAGGAAAGGTTCACAATCAGGATGTTGGTAACATTTCTCATCTCTTTCTGTCTTAAGATAATTATGATTAAGGCCAAGTTTCCAGTGACCCCAAGAATTATCACAGCTCCATAAGCTAGTGCTAATATAAATATCATGGCCAAGGGCAGATGACAATCATCAATTTCAAAAGCCAAAAACTGGGAATTATTTTTTGAAAAATTATAGTAGATTGAATGATTTTCAACCCGTAAAACTACTGTAGAATTCATTTTGATTGGTTTGGTAGTTATCAATCACTTTAGACAAATGGACAGTATGTTTCTTCAAAGCAGATCAAATGTTCAGCTTATTCTTATTCCCCATATTGGCATCCATTTATCAAAATTTTTCTGAATTCTTCATTCCCTTGAACTGAACAATCTGTAAAGAGAAAATGACCAATTGCATTACTAATTTTATTGAGGGCAGGCAAAATGAATTCTGACTCATAATACTGTTTAAAGGAAAGACACTAAAATAAATAAACAAAATAAAATCTGCATAAATAGCTTTATAAAATAGCAGAAACAGTACAAACATTTTGAAAAAAATCTCAAAATTTTTCACTGAACTTGCTTACACACTGAATTTCAGTAAAACATGGTGGTCTGTAAATTAGTAAGGTGTATGTAAATCTCATGTCCAACATCTTATATAAACAGTACTATAAGCACATTCCTAAACACCGTAAGAATATGCATGTATAACAAAAAGCTTAATGCACAGCTTAAAACGTAAGAAAAATATATGAACAAGCAAAGCAAAAAACACCAAAACCAGAAACAAAACTACCTAATCTTTTCTCTTACTATAGAAATGATAGAATTCTTGTAAAGGTTAAGTTGTAATAATAGCTCTATCATACACTGAAGTGCTCTTTAAGGCAGACATTATTTAACACAAATATATTCGAAAGGAAATAATACAGTGAAACATCAAGAAACTGTCATATGAAGGACTGTTGAAGAAAAAGAAGGTGTTTAATCCAGAAAAAAATTTAACAGGAATGGTATAAATGTCTTCTTGTGTTTGGGTGGGTAGCATCAGACATAGGGAACTGGGTTTGGAATATTATGTCAAACTACACAAGTTAGAAGTAGAACCAAAGGAAGTCTATTATACTAAAAGAAACAAAACCAATGTCACATCATTATGAGGAACAAATGTTTGATCATATGAAATGAACTGCCTGCAAATCTAGCAAGTGTCTATACACAAAAGTTTATAGCTACCACATGGAAGATTTTCGAGTTCTTTTTTTCCCCAATTTTTATTAATTTACTTTTGTAAGACTTTCGAGTTCTTGCATTTGTGTAGGATAGCTGTGAAGCTCTCTCTAACTGTAAGATGATATGAGTTTATTAATATATCATAAGGTTTTAAAGGATTGCCACGGTTTCATTCTTGTAAATATCCCCTTTCCCCTCTAGACTGTATACAGATACAACGCAGAGAACTACTTGCGGTCATAACTTTGATCTTTCACAGCATTTTCACCAACAAAACAAATTACAGACCATAGTATTGCAAAGACTAAAAACTCCCTTTGAAAAAAAAAAAAATCTCTGATTTACCCTAGATTACTAAGTACATATATGCGATTTCTTATGTTAACTAACAGGCCATTGTGCCTATGGTAAGAAAGGGAATTCTTATTTCTTTCTTTCTTATGTGAGAACAATACAGGAAATCATGTAGATTTACTTCCATTGAAAAGGAGATAAGACAGTTAATGAACCAACAATATGTTTGCCTTTTAACTGATGTCTCTAAGGAAACTTTCGTTGAATGTTTTGCTTTCTAGGATGTGGAGTGTTTTTTATTATACATCACAACTTGAATTTATAAAAAAATAAAGAATAAAAGTAAAGGTTGTTAACATGAAGTGAGAAAGTATTCAGCCTGGGAGTGGTAGTGGAATGATTTCAAGTGTGAATGTTATTAGAAATATAGTTCTCCTCTCCTCTATGTAACCACCTTTAATAATTCCTAACCCTAGGAGGCAATCAATCACACTTCTCTCAAGGATGTCAAAGGCAAGAGAGAATGATCTATAGCTCTAGGTTTCTGAAAACAAACCTTGAACAAACAAGTAATACTCAAAAAATTCTCAGGAAATTGCCCACATAAAAATTCAAGACATGCCCGGCCTGTGTGGCTCAGTGGTTGAGCATCAGTCCACGCACCAAGAGGTCACCAGTTCAATTCCTGGTCGGGGCACATGTCCAGGTTGTGGGCCAAATCCCCAGTAGGGGACATGCAGGAGGCGGCCAATGGATGTTCTCTCACATCGATGTTTCCATCTCTCTCTCCCTCTCCCTTCCTCTTTCTCTAAAATCAATAAAGAAAAAAAAAAATGAAAAGAATTCAAGACAACTTTGCTTTGTGGTTCATATTCAGGTTGTTATCAAGATATTTAACATTACTTATCCGTTGATTGTGAGTGTTTTCTCATTATTAAACTAAAAATAGCTGCATAGGAAAGTACATTGTCTCTAGTCTATGACTTCTCATGGCTCCCTGTCACCAAGTACCAAGAGGTGAACAAGTACCCAGGTATGAGATTTGGACTATTGAGTACATGCCTCAGGCTGACACTTGAACACCTCTATATTATGTTTTTCTTCTGTTTCTCACTCCTTGCTCTAATAACCCCGTGGTCAATGCACTGCTCCGGGTGGGCCAGTCTCTTCATAGTCCACCAGTTCACTTGGCCTGTTTTAACATCTACACCTTCACCCTGCCATTCCTCTTGTGGGGTGTTCTGCTTCATCATCAATCCAAATTCTACTCATCTTTCAAAGTGCCATGTAGTCCTTCGAATCCTTAATTGGCTCCTCTCAATTATAATATAACCTTTTTAAGGTCGATCCTGTGTATACTTCATAGTACCTTGCAAATATTAGATTTAGAATTAAAATGTGTTGATTGACATAGCAGATGCATGGTTGGAACAGCAGATTCTTCCCTGAGTTAGTCTGAACATCAGCAGCTGAATTCTATCCATGTCTTTTTCTATACCAAATGGATGTTAATTCAATAGATTTTTATTTTCATTTTTAATTGATTTTGAGAGAGTGAGGAAGGGAGAGAGAGAGAGAGAAACATTGATTTGAAAGCAGAATATTGATCAGCTGCCTCCTACACGCCTCCTGCCAGGGTTTGAGCCCACAACTTGGGCATATGCCCTGACTGGGAAATTGAACCAGCAACCTTTTGGTGCACAGGATGACACCCAACTAACTGAGCCACACCAGCCAGGGCTAATAGACATTTTTATTGGTCAGGTATGTAGACAAAATGTTCCACTTTGTGTTAAAAAAGTTTATTTCTAAAAGAAAATTTATTCATCCAATATATACTTATTGAACACTTATTTTGTCGGGCATGGTTTTAGTGGAGACAGTTGTGACATTCTTTTTTTTTTAATATTTTTTTTCTTTATTGATGTTAGAGAGAGAGGGAGAGATAAAAACATCAGTGAGAGAGAACATCAATTGGCCACCTCCTGCATGCCCCCTACTGGGGACTGGGCCCACAACCTGGGCATGTGCTCTGACTGGGAATCGAGCTGTTGACCTCTTGGTGCATGGGTCGATGCTCAACCACTGAGCCACACCAGCCGGGCAGTTGTGACATTCTTAGTGAGTTTCTAGACTTATGGGCAGGGGAAGACAAAAACAAATAAATAACAGAGACAGTATGCCAGATGATAATAAGTGTCATGGAGAAAACTAAAGCAAGGAAGAGGGACTAGGCTTGTTGGGAGTTGCAATTTATTCCTAGGAGACGAGAAAAGCTTCTACCTGCTTGAGAAGAGGGAATGTAAGTGAAGACATGACAGTGGTGAGTGAGGAAGCCATGCAGAGATCTCAGGGATTGCATCCGATGTAATAAAATAAAATCCTTAAGGCTGGAGTGTACCTGGTGTGCTATACAGCATTGGAAAAGGTAAACAGAGGAGGAGCAGACTGTGTAGGGACCTATTCCATGGGATGGTCTTTGACTTTTTTTTTCTGAGAGAGATGAGGAGTCACTGGAGAGTCTTTGATAAAGGCATAAAGTTACATGACTTGTTTTAAAATTTGTACTCTAGCTGCTGTTTTCAACAGACTTAAGAATAGGGAAGAGAAGAAATAGGGAGACTCATTAAGAAGCTAGTGCAATTAATCCAGGTGAGAGACAATAAAGATGCAGACGAGGGTGTTGCAAGGGAAAGGAAGAAAAATAGAAATTTTACATCCACGGACTTTGACAAAATTCAATATGTATGGGAATTAAGCAAACATGTATTAAATTATCACAATGTATAGGCTACAAAGCTAGCCGTTTTATAGATGATTTTCGGTGCATATACCAAAACTCTAATGCCTTTAAAATTATATTTGATAGACATTTCCAGTGAGGAATAGCAGTGTTCCTACTAAGAAGTTAACTTGGCTATACAGAAAATGCAAACTTTTTTTTAAAATACTTGCAAGCCTCCTTTGCTAAGTGAATTGTTGAGTAGTCATTCCAGTTGGATAAAATAGTTCCCCATTGAATAAAATGTATGTTTTCGGCCTACCTTAGTATAACTTCAAGACAAGGTAATTGTCAGGAAACACAATACTATCGGAAAATAATTTACATACATTATCTTTGCAAAAAAATAATTTGGTATTTATCACCCCAACGTATATTTCTAAAATAAGGTATGCAACAACAGACACTGCAAAACTAAAGACAGTTAAATCCCATTGGAGCTGTCATATGCATTTACAGGCAAAACAGACCCACATACAGCACCAGGTGGCAAATTAGCCCCCTTGCAAATGGACATTTCTTTCTCCTTTCTGATTAGAACACTGGCCTTTCACCACTTGCTGTTCTTAGTGCTGTTACTACCTGAAAATACAGCTTTCTGTATTACCCAGCCTGATATAGTTTTTCACGAATTAGGAATTGGCTGTTCACCTCATTTGTTTTGGAAAAGAAATGTCAGTCTTGTTACATGAGGCCTCCCAAAGTTACTGCAAGTTTATCTCCATGAGTTATATAATTCCCGGTTCCTTCCTCTCCAGGGAGAGCTTGTTCACAGACAGCTGCCTTAAAACAATACGGAAGACTAATAAATCATAGTCACCTGGCAAAAGGCAGTGGTCTGTAGTCATGGGTGGGAACTGAGCTGGATAGCTTTCTGCTCTCTCTTGCTTCATCAGGGAGACAGCCTGGAGTCTTGGAACTGACAGGTCCTGTTCCTCCACTCTGTCCAAGCAGAGAGAGACAGACAGACCTGCACTTAGCCCTGTCTGTGTGCCACCTAGCCAGGTATGATTTTTCCTAGGATCCAGGTGGGCATGGCAAATCTGAGAGCTCTTTAAAAAAAAAAGAAGAAGAAT